CAATGTTACAGTTGTGTCTCAAGCACTAAAGACGGTAACCTTTGCAAGAAAAGGAGGGGAAGAGACCTCCTACCACTAAGCAGCAGCATCTGCAGCTGCAACTTCCAGGCAATGGAGGTTAGGGCTCAAGAGGAATTGAGCTTGGAACATAGATGCAGAACTCTCAGAAAGAACTTTCTCCCGTGAGTCCTCCATTTCCCCTCATAACTGCTGGTCCCCCATGCAAATATAGCCTGGGGCAATTCACTCCTCACTAGTTTACATGATGCACTGCTACCTACTAAATGCCCTGCAAACCCCCTGAGCTGGGAAAAGGAATGCAGTCCATATTTGACCCCCAACAAAAGGAAAGGGAAATGATACACAGTATGAAGTAACTATATTATACTGCAGTGCCACGTTCATAGAATAAGAGTTCTTGGTTCTACTTGCTTCCAGAATATCGCCGACGAATACAGAAGAATCAAGGACTGAAAGTGAGGGTTGGACTGGGGTTGAATTAGAAAACAGCTGTGATTCTTTTGTTAACAGGGGCAATGATTAAGCATTGGCACAGACTGTAGATTCTCCATCAACTGCAGTCTTTCAATTTGCACTGGATGCCCTTCCAAAGGTTATTCTTAGACAAACACCATTTAATTAATTTTATGTAACAGCTAAATAGAGAAAGGCACTTAACTTAGGACACATACATCTAAGTGATCTCAAAAGTTCCGTCTGACTAATTAAACATCACAGGTAAGAAGGCTGGGGCAGAGGGCTCTTTAGGACTGCTCTGTTTTGTGATGGGAATCCCTACTTGGAATAAACTCCATTCCAAGAAAGCCCAAGAATGAATTTTCTCAAGAAGGTTCACTGTATTTTCTGTATTCCACGTGGTTCTTTGACTATATATGTATGTAATAAACCCAAGTGTTAACACTTTTGAAGTAGTATTTTTCTTTTTATATATATACAGCACATCTTCACATCTGGACTCTTCACAATAGCTTATTCCTTTTATGAATGTAAAAGCAGCCTCCTAGCAAATGGCTTTCTCCCTATCTGCCACAGGGGCAAGTTATGTACAAGCTTATTCCGAGGACCTCTCCTTGTTCCTTTTATGAGCTAATGCTCCATGTTTTTTAACTAAACAGTCATATATGGCTGCAAACAGCTTTACAGAAACAAATTGTTTTAATTGTGGCAGCCATTGTAAAACCATATTAAAAAAGCGTCAGCTAAAAGGGCGGGGAGAACCTCCGTGCTCCAGAGAGGCTGCAACATTAGCTGGATGGCAACCCCAAAGATCAAACACAGGAAAGCTACACATATATTGATCCTGCCAACTCACCCAAACCCTCTTTCAGTAAAGGCAGAGAATAAACTCATATCCTGATCCATCTTGTGTAGGAAACAGAGCATTAGGGCCAAACCAGGAAAGGTACCGGGCATCTGTGATCAAAAAAATTCTTTGAACTTGAGCTGCAGCAGCTATAAGGTAAACAGTGTCTTGTTGGGACCAATGCGCAAGGGAAGGTTTAATTTCAAAAACACTTTCACACAGTGCCATTTTTCAGACCAAAGGCTCCCGCAAACCCAAAACCCTTTCCTAAAGTTGATATTTGGAATGTTAGGGGACATGTACACATACCAAAGTTGTATGCAACTTTGAGAGGGGGCACTTTTCATAAGGAAAACAATGCTGGGGAAGAGAATTAAACCCTCTTCCATGCCAGCAGTACCATCCAATCTCCCACGTGTCCTGAGGCTGCTAACAGAGGGGTAGACTTTGGTGATCTTTGGTAATACTGCGCCCTGAGCAAGGCCAAAATGTGGTGCCCCCAAATGAAGCTTCTCCATTATAGATCTTCTCCATTTTGTACCCCCACAGCTCAGTGTCTTGTGCAAGGGAACAACCTGCACCGACCTAAATCTGGCACTGGCTAACATTTAAAGCAATAGTGGGAAACTTCTCATTGGGTCATTTTCCTCAAATCACCCGCAACTGCCTCACACCCAGTATCATATGTGGCATCTGATATGGGTCAAATAAAGACATAGCAGCAAAGGAAGTTTAACTCCAGATTGTTCCTTGACAGCCTTGTTGGTCTGCAGAGGTGAAAAAAATGTCCATTTTCAGACTGGGAGCAAGCCCCTTTGAAGCTGTCACCCAACCTGGTGATGTCAGGTGACTGACACATGCCAAAAATGGCTCACAGAAGGTGGGCCAGTTCTTCATCTGGCTTTTGGGCTGTAAAGTGTTCCTTCCCCTGATTTAAAGAGACTGGAGATCACATCACAGAGATCTCCAACACCTAGTCTAGTCTGGACCTTGCCCCGTATTGTAGTCAGAGCCCAGGGACACAATCAGAGATAAGTGCTTTTTATCCCTTCCAGAATAATGTGATAAACAGATCCCTATTTGTGAAGAAAAACAGATGCTGACATAAAGGGTGTTGTCCAACATTAGTCATACAATTAATATTAGTTCACGGATTTCAGTGGGTCTACTCTGAGTATCACCCAAACTATGTTTATTTTCTGTAATTTCTCTGCTACCAGGGAATCTGATGTCTCATCCTGCACTTGGAATTCACATTGAATAAGTACATTAGTCTAGTGTTGCTTTCGCAACTTAAGCAAAGTGGATACAAGAGACAGAGAGAGAGAGTGAGGAAGGAAGGAAGGAAGGAAGGTGCAGGTAGAACTGAAAGAGTGGAATCCGAATCTCTACAAAGCATCAGTGAGTTAAAATTAAGGCTGCCCAACCAGAAAAAATGTTTATTTACCTGTTTTGCTTTTTTAACTAATTAAACAATAAGCATAAATGTCACTTAAACTAATATATGAGTAATTAATGAGAGAGAGAGAGAGAGAGAGAGAGAGAGATGTTAACAACTACAATTACAAAACAATGCATCAAATAATGTATGAGTACCTAATGAAATCAACACTTCATACTGCATAAAATAAGTCCAAGAATGAATGTTAAACCTAAACAAAAGATGTACATCGCATGGAGCACTTAAAACCCTGAGTGCCATTTCAAAGAAAACTCTTTTAACATTTCACCTCCTTACTTCGAGACAAGAGCTGCCTCTCTCTCTTGACAACAAATAATTTCACCCACACTAGAACAGATCACAGTAAGACAATGTGAAGGCATTGTTGCAGTGTGCTTGCAGTGAAACTGACTAGAACCTAATGGGTTTATACTGTAGAAGCAACCTTGATCTTCCTTCCCTATTCACATTCACCATTCTTTAACAATCCCAGAAACCGGTTTGCCCTTACTACCTACTGTCCTTCCTTAAACTTCCAGCAAACGTGCTAGCCTAATTCTTTAGCAGCTTATAGAGTTCAGCTTAACATGCAAGAAACATTTTTTCCTATAACAATCTCTCTTTGGCAAAGCCTCAGAATACTTTACTGCCACGTCTTAGTTGAAAATGGGAGGATGCCAAGAATGAGATAAGCGCAGACAGCCTTGACTGGGAAACACAAGTAAAACGCCTTCTGCAGAAGGAATTACAGCCTTTAGCAGACACCACTTTTTTATTTATTTATTTATTTGTTTATTTAAATTTGTCAGCTTTTTTATTCCACAGCTTTAAAAACAAAAATGTCCCCCCCCCCGCTTATTTTAGGTTCCTTTGCATTGTTCGCAATAGTCACCTAAGCATTAACAGTGCCTAAAGATTGTGTGCAGACATTTGATCTCAAACTGGAATAAACAAGGTATAATTCACTTTCTGACCACTGAGTGTTCCTTCCATTGGCTGCTAATACGCAAATTCTGACTACTACATATCATATCAGCACAAGAGGGAAGGGGGGTCTACAATCCACCACCTGTTATTATTCTCTTTCTCTCTCTTTTTCAACAACTGTTTATCTGAAAAGGCTGCATGACTCTATTGGCAATTGATGTTATTACATGTACCCTTCTGATGAAGATGAGATCAAGAACAGCACGTTTACAAAGGCATCAACTTGCATTTAAGGCTGCATGAAATCAATACTCCTGGGCTTGGGCATAGCCGAGGGGGTGCAGGGGGGCAGCTGCCCCCCTAAATCAAGTACAGTGGTACCTCGGGTTACAGATGCTTCAGCTCACATATGCTTCAGGTTACAGACTCCGCTAACCCAGAAATAGTACCTTGGGTTAAGAACTTTGCTTCAGGATGAGAACAGAAATCATGCTCCGGCAGCGCGGCGGCAGCAGGAGGCCCCATTAGCTAAAGTGGTGCTTCAGGTTAAGAACAGTTTCAGGTTAAGTACGGACCTCCGGAACGAATTAAGTACTTAACCTGAGGTACCACTGTAAAGCAATAAGAATACTTAACTGAGGTTCTGACCCCCCCAACATGAATCCTGGCTGCGCCCATGTTCCTGGGATCCTCAAAATCTTAGTCAATTTGAAAACCCAGGGGGTAATTAGGTGGAAACAGGAGCTAAGTTTTTCTCCCCGTCTTGGAGGCCTCATCTGCGCAGCCCTGGAGAAGTTCTGCCCCCCACCATCTGGGCATTGTCCAAATGTGACATGACGGAGCAGCTTTCTACGGAAATTACTTGCCCCATTCCCAGATGAAGCAGGGGGTGGGGTCCCACTTTTTATGTTAAAAAGTGGGGCACTACTTCTGCTCTGGCACAGAAAGTGATTTGGAGAAAATTGCTAAAACTATCACAAACAGCAAAGGAAAGGGAAGGAGGAAGAAGCAGGTCACAACCCCCCTCTCCTGTCTGCTGATTTGCATGTAGACCCTCACTCAGAGGCACACGTTAAATGTGAACAGTACAAATATATGGGTAAAATATTATCTGAGTCTCTCCCCCCACCACACTCACATAAACCAGACCTCACCCATGCAGCCCAGAGAAGTCCTTCTCACAGGAACATACCAAGTGAGACCAGTGGTCACTATTGTCCAGACCAGTATAGCTCAGTATTGTCTGCACTGATTGGCAGCAGCAGTAGCTCTTCAGGATTTCATAAAGGGGTTTCTCTCAGCTCAACCTGGTGATTCCAGGGATTGAAGCCATAGCCTTCTGCATACAAAGCAGATGCTCAGTCACTGAGCTAAGGCCTTTCCCCACCTCAGTCCTTCAAAAAAACCAACATAAGCAGGCTGCTTCTGCAGATGGCAGCTAAAGGTTTCCTTGCCATTTGTGGTAAGGACCAGCGGCGTAGCGTGGGTTGTCAGCACCCGGGGCAAGGCAAGTAATTTGTGCCCCCTAACCCAGGGCAAGGCAAATAATTTGCACCCCCTAACCCGGGGCAAGGCAAGTAATTTGCGCCCCCTAACCCCTAACCTGCCGCCGCTGCCAGCTTCTTCTTGCTGCTGCCTGGTCTGGTCTGGTGTGGTTCTCTCCCGCACTCAGCGCTGCGCTGGGCGGCCGCTGCACTGTCCCTCCCCCAGATAGTCCCTCGCTCTCTGTCCGCATCGCACGCCTGGCACCCACCCCCTCCACAGTGGGCGGCGACCCAGCGGTTCGGATCGGATTCGCACAGCCAGCACTGCAGTGAGAGAGAGTGAGTGAGCCAGGTAGGGGCAGAGAGCTGCGAGTGCGAGCGCACCCCCCCAGATGTTGCGCCCGGTGCGGCCAGCCCCCCCTGCACCCCCCACGCTACGCCACTGGTAAGGACATGGCCACCTATTTTAAATATACATTTTACATATGTATAAAGTTTAACTCCTATTAAGTGTAATTGTTTTTTTAATTATTGTTTTTCCTATGTTTTAGCAATTATTGCTTTTATCTGTAAGCTGTCCTAAGTCCTTTCAGGGAAAAAGGTGTATAAATAAATATATATTATTAATATTATTTCCTAAATGCTACAGGAGAAGAGTAGCATGGCAAAGTTTGAGGCAGGACCAGATGGTTCTTGCTTGTTTTGTTTCTAAATATCTCATTTATTGTAACGGCAATCCAATTTCTCTTAGTCAATATGGTTTTAACACATAATCAGAAAACTGTCAACTTAGAATCCTGGGGCTTAAAATCCCCTATAAGGGTCAAGCAAATAGATATTCTTCATATGCTCCTTCCGCACCCCCACAACGGTCAAGGAACATAATGAAGGAGTAAATCCCCAGCTATGTATGGAGAGGCAGACTCTATATGATGTTGCCGTATGATTTTGAGGAATTAGGAGAGGGGTAGTTCCAAGTTCTTGAAAGAAGTTTTCAGACACGTGGAATAACTCCCATTCTTATAAGTACATCTCATATAATTAATTCTAAGAGATTAATTTTTTTAAAAAAAATATTTTCCTCCAAATGATAGGGTCAGTTTGTTATAAAGTTTTTCTCAGAAATCAGACAGATTAAGCAAATTTTGGAGTATTATTCATTATTATTCTATCATACCCATCCTTCATCATAAAGTCCCAGGGTGGGTTGCAACAATATAACAGTACAGTATCAAAATCAGTTTAAACAATTTGCAATTATCAGATCTACAGCTATATGTGCAGTAACTGAGACCGATCTAGGCATTGTAGGCATCCATTTGTCTTAAGAGACAATGGAGTGCACCTCTGCAGGAGAAGTCAAACTGCTGCAACAGAAGCACCGTATGCCAGTGTGGTGTAGTGGTTAGGAGCGGTAGACTTGTAATCTGGGGAACTGGGTTCACGTCTCCGCTCTTCCACATGCAGCTGCTGGGTGACCTTGGACTAGTCGCACTTCTCTGAAGTCTCTCAGCCCCACTCACCTCACAGAGTGTTTGTTGTGGGGGAGGAAGGGAAAGGAGAATGTTAGCTGCTTTGAGACTCCTTCAGGTAGTGATAAAGCAGGATATCAAATCCAAACTCTTCTTCTTCTTCTTCTTCTTCTTCTTCTTCTTCTTCTTCTTCATCACCAAAGTGACCTCCCCAGGGTGCAAGCCTGGGCAATTAGTATGGAGGTCCTGGGCTTCCAAGACAAAAAGACACACACACACCCAAGCCTTGCTGATGCCATCCAAAGGAAAACAGAGCAACCAGCTTGGATGCAAGAGTCTCTAGGAGGAGCTGCACAAGATGCCATCCAACTGTCCTAGAGGCTCTACTCTGGATTTGTGTAGGGTTTACTTCTTAGCCCTTTTCTTCTCCTGAAGGTATCCCTCAAGGCAGAGGCAGTTTACAAGCGCCATCTGCTCCTCACTTCCCTCTATAGCACTTGCGGAAACCGCCTTCTTGACTGTGGGATCCACTGTTGGTCTAGTCTGCTCAATCTGCCGGAGCCTGTCTCCGCATGCAGGGAAGTCCCTAACTCACCAAGGGTTTGAGACCCCATCAGCTACTCTCACATGGTTTAGCTGGCCAGTCTCCCGGGATGTGGCTGTTGTTGCATGCTGGCAGCTTCCAGGAGCCATGGGTGACAGCTGAGTGCAGGGTGGGGACCAAATGTGTACAAACTGCCCCAGAAGGAGCATGACGTGTCCCCCACCAGAAGTACGATCCCTTGCCTAATGTCCCATACATTATGTAGTAGTAAAACCCACTGATTTGAATGGGACTTACTCCCAAGTGAATAAAGAACTGCACTCTGATTTATATTTGGGGGGGATATTATTAGACACTGTGAGCCTCCACATGAACCACTACAAAATGGTTCCTGGAAGAGGCAGCTGAATTATCAGAGCGGCTGTGAGATCATGAGTGGCAGGGTGCCTTCACGTAACAAATCTGGTTTCCTGTTTTTAAAAGCAAAGCGGTACTACATTATACAGTTTAAGGACAGGAAAAATCTCAACAGGACAGCAAGCTGGAGTGAAATTTATAGACAGTATTACAAATTGCAACTATTTGCAATTTATTTTCATTCTTGTAGTGGGGGAGACTCACACACAGATTCCATCTGTCTGTAGCGATACTTTAAGTGGTTTCCTCTGTTAACTATCTTCAGTCACACAAATCATGGCATGACAAGCATTTTATACGCTATGAGTCCATTGTGGAAATTCACCACTATAATTGTGGTTTATGGGCCACAACAGATTCTGTCCATCTAAAGCAGTTTTCTTCCTCATTGTCATATCAAGGATGAATTCAAATGCACACGGACAGCCCCAAAGAGGGAAGCTTTATAAACTGTACAGTGCCATACAACTCACATGTTCTTCTGTTTGGTATAAACACCGCTCCTTCTCATGGAAACAGTTCACAGAAAGATTCAGGCAAACAACAGCAGATTAAAACAATATATTTGGAGATATACTTCCCCTAGGCGTGAATTTTAATCTCTTAGTAGCCTGGAAATGTCCTATTTTGTTCAGTGTTCCAGCCAATATTCCATTGCATTGTCCATCTGTCCGTCCCCTGCCAGTGCCACAAGAGTCAACATCCTGTGGGCACTGGGCACAGGATGGTCCTCAATGGGCCGGGTATTTTGGGTAGGGGCTTTAGGGGCTTTTTTCTATCTTTAGATTTTCTGTACTTTGCAAACCTTGGGTCAGGAAACCTGATGATACTTCCCCCTTTTGTCTGTGGGTGATTCCATTTTAACTACGTAAGGTTAGCCACTCAGGGGAAGAAATTCACTATTAGTATGTATAGGTAGTATTAAACCAACTTTGGCTCATTAGATCTACTGCAATTAGTGGACCTAGCTTAGGCACTATACATTTAAAGCAGCATCATGCCACTTTAAAGAGCCATGACTTCACCCAAAGAATCCTGGGACCTGTAGTCAGTTAAGGGTGAGTTCCAAAACCACTATCTCTTATTTCTCGCAAAAACACTAGACTGACTTAGTTAGTCATAATCATGTGAATAAGCTTGTGGACAATCTTTTGCTTTTGCCTTTTGCACAGCATTCAGTTTGGCTGGGATTCAACTGACTGTCCTGCCACGAGACTCACGCTTCCTCCAAATCCAACCTGGAGAGTCACAAGAACCCCCAGAACAGCATGCAGGGGAAGAGGGAAGCATTCTGTGCTAGCAAAAGTCCCTATATGTTTTTCATTTGTATCTTTGGGGGTGGTATTTGGGGTTCTTTTGGAGGGCAGCTAGTGTACTTTAATCACATATTACAACTACTCTATCAAAAAAAAGACTAAAACCTTTTTCGATCATTTTAGCTTCCAAACCGCCACCATAAATCTCAACTATTATATCTTCTGCTCAGTGTCTGGCAGGGGCTGAGGGGTAGGAAGAAGCAGGCTTCAGGCTGTTCTCTGGCATGCTAACAACACATCATCTCGTCCTCCTGTTTCTGTATTTCGGCAATCAAACATATGTCTCCAAGCTTTAAAGTTTCAAAAGTCATCTGCTTAATATCGACACATTTGGAACATGAAGACGAGTTGTTTCTATGGAAATATGCACATGTTATCTACACTGCACAAACATGCTCAGCAATCTTTTTTCAAAGAAATAACTGAACATACATCAAGAAATTATCTCTTTCTTTTCTACAGCAGTTCACAGTCTACACTGTACATTGATATGTTTTAGAAACCAATCAAGGAAAAAGTACTCTGCTATACAAAGTAATTTTCTGCAATCATTAAAAACAGGAAATAAGTCATTTATAAATGGAATAGGGTTTAGGAATCCATGTAGTATGATGATACCTACATGGCGGGTAGATGACCAGATTATTGTTGAACCTTCCATAATAATAATAATAAAAAGAAGGGACTGGTCCACTTGATGTTGCTACTGTGATTTTATGATTCTCTCACGCAGCCAGAAAATGAACTATGGTCTGGCCTGCCATGTTGTGTGAACATGGGCTTATGGTTTGCTTCTCCCCAAACAAACCATCAGCATAAACCAAGGTTTGTTCTTGGCGTGTAAGCTCATGGTTTGTTTGGGGAAGACAAACTACAAGCCCCAGTTGGGACAACATGGCTTGTTTCCTGACTGCATGGCAGGAGTGGGCGAGGAGGAAAGCAAGTTTATTTTAACTGTGATTTACTGTGGCGTGCAACCCAGGCTGTTCTTAATATTTTAGGAATTTCCATTAAGCAACCTGAACTTGCAGATATTTGGATATTGAATAGTGGTGTGTGTTCTGCCTTTGTAGGCACCCTTTAATTCTTGTCTCATATTTATTCATATGATTGCATTGATTAGCAGTGTTATCATCATTAGGTT